AAAATCACAAACTTAGGTGAATGAATAAGTCTAATGGAGACAACAGGATTATCTTAAAATGGCTTGTGGAGTTTCTTTTCTTACTTCTGTATTCTCATAAGACCATGTTGACATATGCTCTTTTATACAGGCACATACATAAATGTGCAAAATGATGAAAGATGGGTCATATTGGTGAGGGTTTACACTTTTTGGTTTGAAGAATGCAGCAAAATACTATACAAAGTGAATAGATACATTTTTAATATTCAGCAGAAAATTAAAAGCTGTAAGCATCCTCATGCTCCCAATTAAATTTTTGCAGCATATGAAAACAACAATTGGAACATTCTACTACTTGATTTTCATTTTTGATTATGTACAATTGCCAAAATACCTCAAATGATTACAGGTTTCTCATTTCAAATAGTTTTAAGTACCATTAAATATTTTGTAAAATACTTTTTAGGTCCCTAATTGGGTTCAATTTATATTATTATTCTACTCTGAGGAATAAAATGTAACTCTTATCTGTTTGTTGCCCAAGAGGAGAATTAGTTCCTAGAAATAAAATCTTGGTTAAATTTTGCTGTACACTACTTCAAATACAAATTACCCATCACAGATTAAGACTTGGCTTTGTAAATAAGAAAATTTCCTATTTGAAATTTTAGTAAGGCACAAGGTATGGAAAAAATAGAACTCTTGGAATAGCTTGGTAAAATAATTTAGAAAATGAAATGGTGTAAAATGCTGTAACCACAGCATGTAAGTAATGTTTATTTCAATAACCATTAAAGATCCACTTATAACCAGACTTTCTTTAGCACTCTTCTTATTCTTTTATAACTTTACAAAAGAAATAATTTTCTGCACTAAAGCTGACCATATTTACTTACACCTTGCCCCTTGCTTTGAAAAAAGTCTAAGAAAAACATGCTCAAATATTAATTTATTTAAAATTGAAATACACATGCTTATTCTATTTTAAGAGAAGCTTAATGGCCGAAACATTTCATTTCTCAGAAATTTAGTGGAAATATTTCCTGCGTGTGCAATGGAGCCAGTAATAAAATATTAATAAATGGAAAAATTATATTTGTTCAAAATCCATTAACTGTTTTACAGCTCTATACAGCCACATAAACATTTAAGACATGTTCTAACAAGAAATAGTCAAATAAAATGTGTTTCGGTATCAAAAAAATTCCATTAATTTTTGTTATTTTTCTTCTTTTTTATATATCATGCACAAAATAGAGAAAGAAATTGGGGGCAGAAATTATGGACCTATATTTTTATATATGAGATTATTTTTATAAAAATATTCAGATGGAGATGCCTGGGTGTCTCAATCAATTAAGCACCTGACTCTTGATTTGGGCTCAGGTCATGATCTCTGGGTTGTGAATCAGGCTCAGTGCCAGGTGTGCTAAGTGTGGAACCTGCTTAAGATTTTCTCTCTCTCTCCCTCTGTCCAGCCTCCTCCCCAAGCGCTCTCTCTCTTTAAAAAAAAAAAAAAAAATTCATATGGATGACACAGAATTTAAGCTATTACTCTTATTCTAGAATGAAAATGATAAACATAAACTCAAAGACCCATTTGTTTTTGTACACCATCTTCAGGTAACTTCCACATTCCAGGGAAGAAAACATTCTCATGCTTATTTCTAACTTCCATTCTGTCTTCCAATAAATTAACTGAATTCCAGATTCTTGGCAGTATTGACCAGAGATAGAATGTATGAATTTAAAGTCAGATAGATACGAGTTCTGCAAGCTCTTCCATTTTGCCTACCTGCTTATTTACTCCCAGTTTTTTTATCCATAGAATGGGAACCAGCATAATGCCTGCCTTTTGAAGCATTCTTATAAAATATGGGATCTAGCACATCATAAATTTTTAGTAAATTTTGTTACCTTACTACATAAAGAAAGATAACTTTTAAATACAATAAGAGAAGCTACTCTTATTGAATGCTTATTATTATGCCAGGAAGCGTTTGAGTACATGTTTTACCCAATTTAACCCCTGCAATACTGTGAACCCATTTTACAGAGAAGACAATTAAAAGAGAGCGTTCTCGGGTCCCAAGCATTGCAAAGATCCTATCATGCTGTAGTTCTTCTGAAATACACCTGTTTAAAGAAAAGATTAACATAAAAGGACACTTATCTACATGAAAAATCATAATTGGCTGAAATTTGCCTCCATTATGGCAGATATTACCACACTAGACATAAACTTTTTCCTAATAGTCGTTTGAGATAAGATACTACCAAATGGAATTATACAAATCAAGAATCTTATTACGTTTTCAAAGGTCTGTTTCACTCTGTTTATTTTAACAAATTTGTTTTCTCATTTTGTACTACCTCTGACTAATACGCGTAATTAGTTTGATTTCTTTCTGTAGTTTGATTTCATAGATAAACTTAGGGTTTACTTCTTTTATTTTCACTCTCTGGTAATAAAAACAGTCTTCAAATGCCCAGCAATACATACAAATAGTTCAAAAATAAATACGTAAAGCATGTACAAACTAAACATATAAAATCCAACCAAGGCCAAAGCTTGAGCTCTATTTTAATACAAATTCAATCTCATATGTGTGTGAGAGTATGTTTGTCTGTATTAGGCATGAAGTTTTGTTTGACTTGCAAAGTATATGATAAAAGTAAATATTAAACATTTGCCCTCATCATGGTGTATATAGAACATATGCTAATATACCAATTCTCAGGTATCTATTCCAAAGAAAATGTCTGAGAAAATGGTGCAGTTCACAGGACTTCTTGAAAATGAGAATCATTATTATTATAATTAGGATTATAACCCAGCAGTGGAGCACAACAGCCAGGTTCAAAACAAAGCTTGCACAGGTAATCTTCAACCTGCTTAATTTATGAACAGAGTTCTAAGTATTGACAGAGGCTCCAAACTTCAGGGCTCAATATTAAGAAATTCTGACTCTCAGGGCGCCTGGGTGGCTCAGTGGGTTAAAGCATCTGCCTTCGGCTCAGGTCATGATCCCAGGGTCCTGGGATGGAGCCCCACAACCAGCTCTCTGCTCAGCAGGGAGCCTGCTTCCTCCTCTCTCTCTCTCTCTCTCTGTCTGCCTCTCTGCCTACTTGTGATCTTTATCTGTCAAATAAATAAATAAAATCTTAAAAAAAAAAAAAAAAGGAAAGAAATTCTGACTCTCAGTATTAACAGCAACCAGAAAGGAATTTTTTAAATGTAGCCAATAAAACAAAAACTTAATAAATAAAAAAAAGGCAGACAAAAGTTTGATAATATTGATAATATTGTATGATCAAACATGTGGCTATTGTTAAAATTCTTTGTTTAAAGGAGGAAAACTGAAGTCTGGTGCTATCATTATTCCATTACTGTCATTAGAGAAAAATATTTTTAATGAAAAAGTATAAATTTAAAAATTTTTCTAAAATATCTCCTGAAAAAATGTTTTCCATTCCCGAAAAACAAATCAGATAACAGATTATATAAAAATGTTATTTTTGTAAACTTTAAATTCTCGGGACTTTATAAAGATGTTATGTATATCCCTTTAGCTTCATATATACATATATATATAGTTTCATACATATATAGCATATATCTCATATATTTGTGTGTATATATGAGAAACATATATGTGTGTATACATATATATATATTTGCATATACCTTGCAATATTCTTACATATACTTCTAATACATACTTCTACCATCACCTTAATGCTAGAAAAGAGAAAGATTGTACGTGGACCAAGGATTACCCTTGGTTCTTTAGATTTTAATGGATGAGGCTTAAAACATTTAAAGACACTCAGAGTCCATGAATAATTGGTGTGTAATATTCTTCACCTTTGTGGTGAGTAGATCAACAAGTTTTGCAAAGGTTAAAGACAACTAATTGAGATAGAAGAGAATTACAACTCTGAATTGTGTTGGAATAATGGTGCATGCACTGTGGTGAAGCATCTGGATTTAGATCTCACCTTGCCCACAAGACTGTGAAAGTCCTCTTTAATAACTTCCTTAATAGTTCTGATCTCAATTTTCTAATCTATAAAATAAAGATAATGAGAGGACATATTTCAGAGATGAATTTATCATGAAGTGAATAAAGTCTTAAGTTCAGTGCCCTGACAATATGTGATTGGGTATAATTGTTCAAAATTTGCAAAAATTTTGCAAAAAACTTTGCAAAAATTTGATCTTTCTCTTTTGTATGTTAGGGTTTATACTGAATATTAAATTAGATAAATAAAAATGATAAAGCTTCAAGATTATGCCTAGAACAGGGAAAACCCTTGATTAATGTTCATTACCATTATTATTATCAACCACCATAGACAATTTGCTTGTGTTTATTTTTCCCATTGCTGCATATGATTGAATATTTCATATCTTAAATAGTATGGCTTAGGGGTGTTTAGGAAAGAGCTTAATATATTAACAGAGTTTTCTATTTACCAAATTCGGAAAAAGAAATGGTATGAAATACATTAATTCAAATGTTAGGCTTACAGATACAAATCTAAGAAGGGGTAGCTTTTAGAATTTAATCAAGGCCATGTTTGCATTTTGGTGAAATATCTAAAATATTTATTCAGAAAAAAACTGGTACTATGCAGAGTAAACGTGCTTAAATGAGATTTCATACACTTGTCAAATTGAACTCCCCAGAATTATACTAATCTTATTGTATCCATACAGAAACATCTACATATTCAGGGACTTAGCAATGTATAAAAAAATGGCCATGCCATTTTCTAAGACACAGTTTCAGAACATATGATAACTATTTCACACTCATAATGTAAAATCAATCATATTCATATGATATCTATTTTACTATTCAAAATCAAATGTCCTCATACCTTTAATCACACACCTAAAAGTTACAGACATAAGCTATCTCTATAAATTATGATTAATTACACAAAGAATCATAATAAATAAGTATAATGGACTTATGATTAAGCTCTACCTTTTGAATTTTCTATTTTATTTGAACAAAGGAGATAAATACATGCACTGCTTATGAATAAAATTCACCAGGAAATTTGTTTATATTATAATATTGTATTTCATATAATAGGAGTTTGACTATTACCCTCACTGAATCATCAAGTCAATATAGGAATTCATTTCATGCTTCAAGATAAAACAAATTTAAGATAAATACATTAGAGTTGGCTCTAACAACAGCTTAAATTCTGAAGCAATACTAATTTATACACATGTAGAACTGCGTCTTGATGACTTTTAATGTGAGATGTATATATTTTTCAGTGTAATTTAAAGTCCTGTTCAGAAAAGAATGCTAGCTGTGTTTGTCTTGCCTTTTCTGAGTCAATCATGAAATCACCTCCTGAATTAGCTGAGCAATAGTAAGAATGAGGAAGTTGTTTCTTTCTGCTCTGCTCAGTGGAGATAGAAAGGTGAGTAAGTTTAATTCACATAGTGAGTTGAATGGCTCAAATCACAATGCCATTTCCTGCTTCATGCTGTGCCCATTTAGTAAAACTGAATTGGTCATCATGTTTTTAGCATTGCTTTTCAGAGATGTTATATGCACTGCAGAAGAGCTGGGAAGGTAGCTGGTTGATCCCTCTTGATAGGACTTCCTCCCACAGCAGAGCTGGCTGTTGAAATGCCTCCTGAAGCTTTCACTGAGTAGATAAAGAGCAAATGGATTGACACAAGAATTGCAAAAGCTCAGAACACGGGCAACTAAGGTGACAATCATGTGGCCTAGAGATGGGTCAATCTCATTATAATTGAAAGACCTATACATGTAGAGAATGTGATTTGGAAACCAACAGAAGACAAAGCAGCCCACGAAGACTAGCACAATTTTAGCCAGGCGCTTCCGTGTCTCCATCTGCAAATACAAGGAAACAGCTCCACTGGTTAAAATGAAAATGGAACCACCCACACGCAAAACATCATGGTGCAAAAAGTAAAATTTACCATGGCATGCAAATGCATCTAAAAACACAAAAATTATTTTCCTCAACAAAGTGATGATTTCAACAGTTTGACAAAGCCTATTGTGATCACTATACCCTTTCATCTAAAAATATTTGACAGCCTCTACAAGACTAGATGATAAATTATTAATAAATAGCTATGTCTTCATGTTAAAACTGTGACCTATAAAAATTCTCTCTTATTTTTTTTAAGATTTTATTTATTTATTTGACAGATAGAGATCACAAGTAGGCAGAGCAGCAGGCAGAGAGAGAGGAGGAAGCAGGCTCCCTGCTGAGGAGAGAGCTGTATGTGAGGCTCCGATCCCAGGACCCTGGGATCATAACCTGAGCCCAAGGCAGAGGCTTAACCCACTGAGCCACCCAGGCGCCCCTCTCTCTTATTTTTAACTACTTTCCTGTTGCTTAGTCTTCTGTGTTCACTTTAAATATAAATCATTAGTTTGTGTTAAATCCACTAAATTAGTGAACCACACAATATACTTAAGATTAGATTTGTTTTAATCAGGGTAATTGAAATACAGCATGACTTTTTAAATCCCTATTCCACAAAAAAAAAAAAAAAAAAAACAACCTTGAGATTTAAACTTCTCACTCACATAAATCAAAACCTTCTAACTATCAATCCTATAAGTATTACTATGTTAGATTACTTTTTCTTTTCTTAAACTTCACATAATGCATTTACTGTTTTATAAGAAAGCCTTCAGGAATGTGAGACAAAATTCAAGTATTGGAAATAAATCTTTTTAATCTAAAAATCATAGTCTAACATCTAGAGTTTAAGGTTTAGCTCATATTTGTCCTGCTTCCTTAAATATTTAAATGAGGCAACATGAATGTGAAAACTTAATTTATCAAAGGATATTGATAGTAGGAAAAATGATATTTCCTGAGCTAAAACTATTGATAGTGAATTAGAATATGCCAAAGAAAACCGTAGTGAGTGGTGAACCAGGGAAGCAAATAAAGATGCAGTAAAGAAGAGGAAAGAAATGTGGTACCCCAGATGTGTCCTGGTGGTATGAGTTAAGCAACCTGGGAATATTAAGAAACTCAACTGTGAAATTTAGGTTATGAAGCAGTGTCCACCCTAGCAGGTGGAACATGGGTGGAACAATCTTAGGGCAGCCTATACTTAAAGACTCAAATGCACAGGTAGGCTATTGGCATTGAGATTACTTCATAGCTGATAACAAGCCTAGCTACCCAGCCAGAGTTTATAAGTTCCAATAGAGAAATTCACAAAAACAAGGCAGAACTAAGGCCATTTTAAAAAACAAAAGTGGAGGTGGGAGGGTAAGAGGAACTCAATTTTAGAAACCAAAGCAAAAACTCAAATACTCAAATTGAGATACAAATTGGATCAGAGGGCAAAGGAAAAAGTGCATTGAGCCCATGACCTGAATTTTTTTTTGTTTCAGTGATGCTAGATATTTAGATGCTAGTGATGTTAGATATTTAGATAATAAACCTATTAACTTATCTATAATTACTTTAGTGATGGTTGATTTTTTGGCTTTTAAAGAAGTTGGATCTCTGATGTTGATGACCATCAATAAATAGAGGCCACCTTCCATGCAAGAACTCTCTCGAGATTCTGCTGTTGTTGAAGTGCGCAACGCCCCAGTCCGTGGCTCCATTTACAACCTAGCAAATTTTAATGATCTGCCATTCAACATGCCTTTAACTTGGTGAAGACCTAACCAAACCTCCCTGTACCTACAAAAATCCTTTGGAAGAATTTCCTCTCTGAGAGTCCACAAAAGCACAATTTGAAACTCTGTCCCACTAAACAGTATTTCCAGCTATTTGTGAATTAACATAATTTGTTTTACCTTAAGTTAGTATCTCTGTATATTCCTTAAGGAAGAAAGACTGCGTAAGGTGCATCTGTAATTTTTAAATTAGCATATGATTTTTATAGGACAAGCTATAAAGTTGAGTTAAAGAAAGTATGACTTCAGCGCCAGCCACCTCTGGATCACTCTCACCCTTGTTCTCTGCCTTCTGTTCCCACAGCCCCATTCTGGCATCCTATCCAAACAGCATCCCCAGTTCCCAGACCGTGTCCTACAGTCCTTTCCTGATGAATCCTTCTCCCAGATTTTCTGTCATCCTTAATGGGCTAATGGGAGGAGAGACAATGATTAAATAAATTTATACTTGAAATTTTAATTTTCTGGTTTATGTTGTTTTTTTGCATTAACATTTACAGGTAAGGAAAAGCCTTCAAAGACATTAAGTTTTAACAGCTCCAGGCCCAGATGGCAGATAAGCTGGGCTTCACTGGACCTCTACAGAGCTGTAACATGGCCACATATCGGAGTTGCCTCCCCTCCTCCTCTGGGCACAACATCCCTTCTAGTCCAGGCTAATGCAAATCCAGTGCACTGTGACCCTGTTCTAATCTTTCACAGTACTGAGAACCCATGAAACAGAACAGAAAATAGCAGTTAAGACATCTGACCCACACACCCAGAACACACACACACACACACACACACACACACACACACACACCCCTACCAAGCTTACCTGTTTTTTAGTATGTTCATTGTATTCTCCAGGAAGATTATGTGCACTTTTAATTAAGGTCTTTGCAATATGATAATAATAAACGCTAATAATAGCCAGTGGAATGAGGAAATAGACCAAGAAGATGAGCACTGAATGAATCTTTGGGTGTAATTCATCCGTCTGAGGGTAAGGTATACACGCAGTGAAGTTGCCATTTTCCAAGCTATCAATGCGCGTCACTTCTGAAAACACGGCTTCTGGAACCGCCAGCAGCAGGGAGATCACCCAGATCCCCACCGCCTTCACGCAGGTCCACAGCACCGCCCCGGATGTCTGGATGTCCATGGGGTTGACAATGGCTCTGTACCTGGAAAGACAACATGCCTCACATCACTCTCTTAGAAGAAAAATGTAAAGGGAAGGAGAAAGAGAGAGGAAGGAAAGGAAGTAGGTGAGGAGAGGAGGAAGAAGATGCTACTTGCTAATATTCCATACTCGCTAGCTGTTTTGTAGCATATCTCATATCTCGCTGTCAGTCTGCAAGTCATTCCACTGCTTATTAGCACAGAAGACAGGAAAGAGAAAGGGAAAGATTTTAAACAATCATTCCCCAAATTGCATTAATTTGCTTACCCCTTTCACAAGTCTTATTCTAAATCAATAATACTACAAAGGACCATCATTTATTGAATATTTGTATTTAAATTATTACATTTTTTAAAAAGTTATCATTACCGAAATGGCTATAATATACAACAAACCTAAATTACAAAATGACTACAAAATAATGTTACTAAGTTCTATCTCGATACTCTTCTTCAGCTTTTGAGCCTGAGTCTCCCAATTTTTCCTGAGGACATCAGTAAATCTTACAGACTAATCTAAACAGGGATTTCTGCCATAATTCAATCATAAGAACTGTAAGAACTGAAGATGAAATAAGACTTTGTCTTTGCAGCTCAAATTTATTTTATGTGGAGACCTCATGAAATCCTCTCTTTCTATTTAAAATCATCATAATGGTAAAAGGAACCACACTCCAGGACACAGGGCTTAAACAATCCAAATGGCTAACTCAAGTCACACACTTTACGGTAATAATAATGCAAACAAACCAAAATTATGTGTGAACATCAAATTATTTATATTTTTTTCTGAAAGTATTTCAGCTCCAGTAAACCTAGAAGGTAACATGATAACGGTAAAAAGTGATTTTAGTCAAACAAATCTGAGCCATTGTCTTATCTCTGACATCCTTTGGAAAATCACTTAAGATCTTCTTCATCTATAAGGTGGAGATAAAAACATTTCTCTCAAAGTTTTTGATTATAAAAAAAGGAGAGAGCATCTATTACCGTGACTGCCAATTAGCAGATATTAACCATTCCATGACTCTGTACATTCTCCTTATTTATATTTGAGTTAGTCTGGTGTTCTAAAAAATTCAGAATATTTCAAGAACCATAATAAGCAGGTAAGATCTTCTGAGGTCCTCTCAAGCTGTTTCCCATTGCCTGCAGAAGAGGAACAGCTCCCAGCCTAAAGGGAGCCTCTCTTTCTCCTTCCTAATTTGTATCAAATGTCATTCCCAGGCCCTCAATAAGAGAAGATCCATATTTTTATCTAGAATCTTCCCATGTATAACAAGAAACATATAAATTTTAAAGTAGAACAACAGCAAAGGGCCTTGACAGCAAATTAAATAAAGTAGCATACGTAATGCATTTATTTTACCCAGACTTTTCACATGGCAGAACACAGTAGGCATGTGTTCCCTCCCCATTCGGCTTAACTGGGTTAGTTCTTAAGAAACTAAAAGAAGAATTTTAGTTTTAGTTTTAGTTCTTAAGAAACTAAAAGAAGAATTACAATCAGTAACTAGAATGAGCTGGGGTTTGTTTTTTTTTTTTTCTGTTTTTTTTTATTATTTTTAGATTAATATATTCAAAGAGGTTTTTGTTTTGTTTTGTTTTTGTTTTTAGTCAGAAAGCACTACAAGCCTATGAAGAAAAATAGAAGCTCCTGATTTCATTTCAGGTCCTGCTCCTGGGTTGAACCAATTTCACATCATTACCTCCATATGTCTAAGAAATGTCCTTCTGCCACTGTCTCTTGAAATAAATATTATAGACATTTGCTCTCAACATCCTGTTATGGAATTTGAAGACTTTTCTCTCTTATTTCACCTTTATTCCTCACATTGCCAACTTCCTGATTTAGTATGCTATATTAAATGTTTATAAAGTAGTCACTATACTGTTATTATGGCTAAACAAGTATCTCACACTGCAAGATTAAGTAATATATTACATTTTCTTTCTTAAACATGTCTCTGACTTATGTAAAGTTGCTACTTGATCAGTTTTGTTTGCATAATTTTCCATGTTCCTGAATTTACTTTTTAAAAAAAAGTTCTTCCACTACCTTGTTGGATAATTGGAGTCCCAGTGCTTGAATCTCAATTATTCTCTCTTAGTCTTTTACTTTAATCAGCTCATCTACACCTTCCTTTTGGTTTTACTTTCTAAGATACTTTATTAGCTTTAGCTTTCATTCTTTCTTCTGACTTCTTAAATTTCTGCTATCATATTTTTAATTTCTAGAAGTTCTTCCTAGTTTTCAAGTCACTCTTTTGCATAGTTTACTTTTCTTATGAATATAAGTTCTTATTATATGTCTATGGAACTAATTCAGAAAATTTTTTTTCACTTCTCTTTCTTATATAGTTTCAATAATAGCTAACAATAATAACAGCACAATTTCTCCAAAGTTTCAAGCAAAAAAAAATTTTTTTGTCATAATAAAATCCAAGTGAATAACTATTTAGAAGTAAGAAACCTAGTGGGAGTAGAAGACCTGGGTAGAGAAGGCCCTTCCAACAGGGTCAATTACTGGTCATGTATCGTGCAAGAAAGGGAAATAGACTTTGGATCTTTCCCTAAATGATATACATATAATGGAAAGGGGATACTGTTCCCTTCACAGAGTCCAGTAACTATATTTTAGTACCAATAAATATCATTTTCACCGTGAATCCATTTTTTTCTTTTTGTATGTTCAGTTGTCCCTCTTTGCTTTTTTTAATTTTTTATTGTTTTTTAAGATTTTATTTATTTATTTGACAGGCAGAGATCACAAGCAGGCATAGAGGCAGGCGGGGGTGGGGGGGAGCAGGCTCACTCCCTGCTGAGCAGAGAGCCCGAAACGAGGCTCCATCCCAGGACCCTGAGATCATGATCCGAGCCAAAGGCAGAGGCCCAAACCACTGAGCTACCCAGGCGCCCCTTTTTTTATATTAATTGCAAGCTGTTCTTGAAATTCATGGAAATATAATTAAAATAGATAGTAAAACAAAACAAACAAACTAATACATTCAAAGACTTTTATTTATTTGGTTTCTTTATGCTAGAATTTCTCCTCAAAAGTTAGATATCTACTTCCTACCAATTAATATTTAAGATCAAAGTACAAAAAGCTGATGGTAAATTCTTTTATACATGGAGGAGATGAGAAAAGACCAGAGAAGTTTTGGGGGGCGGTGATGATTACTAAAAATTGATCAATTAACTAGCTTTCCTTGTTAGATGTCAGAAAATTCAAAGAATATTCCGAATTTTCCTTTGTGGATTTAAAAAAGAGGAAAGTCAGGGGTGCTTGGGTGGCTCAGTCAGTTAAGCGTCTGCCTTTGACTCAGGTCATGATGTCAGGGTCCTGCAATACAACCCAGCATCAGGCTCCCTGCTCAGCGGGGAGTCTGCTTCTCCCTTTCCCTCTGCCTCTGTTCCTGTCTCTCTCTCTCTCTCTCAAATAAATAAGTAAAATTAAAAAAAAAAAAAATGAGTGGGAGGAAAACAAACATCACTCCCCTGCCTTTATTCCCACCCCACATCTAACCACATAAACATAAAGCATGTTAGGGAAACTGTGAAGAGGAATGAAAGTTATAACTCTTTCATTCTGACAAGATTGCCATAGTAGAACCAGCAACAAATCTAGAATTCTTGGTTTAGAAGTAAGAAACCTAGTAGGAATATAAGACATGGGTAGAAAAGGCCTTTCCAACAGGGTCGATTACTGGTCATGTCCTGCAAGGAAGGGAAATAGACTTTGGATCTTTCCCTAAATGACATACGTGCAATGGAAAGGGGGAGTACTGACAGTTCTATAAAGCCAGAAATCACAGTTTACAACAGATTACTGAAGTGTCATTATTAGTGTCATTATTAGTACTTAAATATCACATAATTGTCAGAGAGTAAGTTTTACATTAATGTTTCATGTACATACATCTTTGAAAGGATAAAAAGTCAAGCAATACAGCACAAATTAGTAACAACATGTTTAATTATCCTTCCTTTAAATATTTATAAAAATGTAGGAATGAAACTGTCCCTCAGTATGCAAACTATCTCATTAAATTTAGTAGCATAACACGTGTGAAAAGCAATATTTTTTTTCTTTCAGATCGTCTCAGAAGGTATCTTTAATGGAAAACTAGAAAATAATCAATCAAAAGGGATTAAAGAGAAAAAAAGCGATTAAAGAAAACATAATTACCATTCATGTATTAAATATTTTTTAACATTTTATTTATTCATTTGAGAGACAGAGAGACAGAGACAGAGACAGAGAGCACAGAAGGAGAGGCAGAGGGAGAAGAAGAAGCAGACTCTGCGCTGTGTTGGGAGCCTGATGTGGAGCTCTATCCCATGACCTGAGCCAAAGACAGATGTTTAACCATCTGAGCTACCCAGGTGCCCTTCGTGTATTAAATATTAATAAACAGATATGTTTCTTTGTTAATTTTTGTTTTGAATCTTACACTTATCCTATTTGTGTATATTCTAAATTTAATGTAAAGGGTAATAGACTATAATCATATTACAACATATGTAACAAAAATTAGATCATTTTAGCTTGTATAAAGTCATCTCAATATCTCAAAGTCTCCATTCCATCTACACATTTCTGTAAACCTACTAGTTGCATTATCCATAGTTTCTTTTTTTCTTTATCCTTCTTTCATTAGAGGCCAGCAAAAAGTTTAAATGTGAACAATCTGACAATGAAGAGAAAGATACTATGGAAGCAGGAGAAAGAAAATTTCAAAAAATATAGACCCTCTATGTCAAATACCTCTAAAAACAAAAACAAAAACCTCCTTTTGCTTACTGTCGTATCTAAAGTGCAAAACACAATGCCTGACCCATAGTAATTTCTCAGTGAACATTTGTTGAACTAATAAGGAAATGTGGTCTGAGCAGCAAGGAGATCACTTTTTTAAAGTAGTTTTAGTAGAGTGTGGTCTTTGGTTATCATGTTAAGGGGAGAATGGATGTTAGAGATGGATATACAGTCTAGTCCAGT